TATTATATTTTTATTTTATGTAATAAATTATTTCAGTTGAAGTTTTAAATCATATATCAATAATGGACATAATAATACTCAATCGACTATAATTGTATTGTTTTTAAAAATGATATTTTTCGTTTAGGTTCCTCGATTATTATTTAAAAAAAAATCAATTTATATAAAATATAAACCAATATATTACCAAATTTACTAAAGATAGATTAAGTATTTTATATTAATTTTTTTAACTTACATATCAAAAAATCGTACATGCGATTATTATATCTAGTTGTATATTATTTAATATTTGATAAAATAGTTTATTTTTTGTATTTCAGGAAGTAGACAAAATATTTTTATTACTTTTAAATTTGTATTTTAAATTTTTATATTTAAAAAGTGTTATACAACATATTAAAAATATTGATTTCTTCTGTCAATTTATTTGATTTATTGATTTTATTAAATAATCAGTTGTAAAATATGGACAATAAAAGATAAAAAAAATTAATTTGCAGTTATAAAGTTTAAATGATAGATTATCGACAAACTATTAAAAATATTCGAAAAAGAGAGACAGGGTGTGAGAGAAAGAGAGAGAGAGAGAGAGAGAGAGAGAGAGAGAGAGTGGTGGAAAAGAGCAGAGGCTGAAGTGTACTATATTTTCGTGATAATGGATTTCAACATGTCAAACGGCAAAAGGTTGAGTCTTAGAAATATTTATAAATGCTTTTTCTTTGCGAAGCAGTGAAAGCTTGCATCAACTGAAGTTTTGCAATACCCTTTCAAAGGCCTAAGCATATGAAAGTGCAAAAGTATAAAGTAAATAGAGGTATACAATCAGAGCTTAAATGTCGTAAGAAAAGATAAAGAAAAAATTTGAAAGGAAATACTTGGTTTGTTTTTATTTATTTTGATTTTTTGAGCAACTTGAAATCGCTATTTGATATTGCTCGAACTCTTTTAATTACATTGGTGTATACAAATAAAACATTATATACTTTACCTTTTACAAAAATTACTAATTATATTACAGTTACGTGTAGAATAGATAATAGATTATATAATATTGTTAATAAATTATTTTGAAATATAAATTTTTAGTAATACAATTAATAATTTAAATATCCTTGGTATTAATGAAGCAAGATTTAAGAAATTAATATTTTCTATTTGATATTATTTTATCTTACACTCTGTTGTTGTTCTGAAGTTCTTTGCTTCGATATCAAGGAAAGAAAAATAAATACTAAGCAAACCTAAAAAGCTCCATGTGTAGATATATATGTTCGTGGCCATAAAAATACTCTACTGTATGCTGGTATATTGAATGTTTCCTAGTTCTATATATTTGATTCTGTAGATGAATGAGAATTATTCTGTTCGTAACACTACCTTGGGAATGAGGTATTAGGATGCCATATTGTTGGATCGCGCTAATCAGATTGAAGTCTCATTGAAACGCCATTGAAAAAATAACCAAGCTCAACTAGGTTTTATACATTTAAGTCGAATGTAGAGGTATTAACACTTTGTTGAAAATGGTTTCGTGGTAACAGATCGTAAATATTGCGAAAAAGTTATGTAGATATTTTATATTGTTAAAGATGTTCTGCATGTATTGATGATATGTTGCAGATTAGCAGTTGCATTGTGAAGTTGGTGATAGAGAAATTGATCTACCTGAAAAGTCGTATTTCTGAAAATTGATCATAATTTATTTTCGATCTCTTTGATCGTCTTTGATAATGTTCATTCAGCAATTGGATAAAATGAATATTCATATCCTTGTAAGATACTCATTCATTAAAATAAATTTTTAATTAATTATCTATAAACTTGATAGTTAATAAATATTTCAATTGCAAATTAGCTTTATGCTATAGAATGACATTATGGCTTTACAATGGTTCTATGAATATTCTTATCAGGCCAATTTCGATCAATGTACATGTAATGTACTTTCACTATTTATCGGCGGTGTTTCGTAGTTATTAATAGAGACGGTTTTACTATGTACTCATATTGCTCATCTAAACCTTTTCTTTGAGTGGATATACTTGAGTTCAAATGACCTATGAATATTATATGTATTATATGTATTAATATATGTATATATAATATTATATACTGAAAATAGAGTCACTTTATTATTTTCAAAATGATAAACAATTGCTGTTAAATAGTATGAAAACAAATTTAGTTAAGTATTCATAATGATTTATAAATGAATTTTTGAAATATTCAGTAATATGGTTATGATAAAATAGAAATTGTAATGTACAGTGGAGGTGAAACTTTATTTTCGTAAAATAGAATTTATTTATAATATTGTGCAAATACAAAATATTATGGAAATATGCATTAATAAATAAAATTAATCATTGCAATAACAGTTACAATCTTTTTTACAATAACATTAATTAATAATAGAAGATATAATTGTTAAAAAATCTAATGAAATAAAAGTATCCTCATTAACTTGAGTTTCCAAATTATTATGAAACTATATTTATATAACATACTATATTATATATAGAATTAGAAATGAAGTATTTTTCAAAAATAAAATATCCAATATATTACGAAGTTATTTTGATAAACGCTTTTTTACTCTCTATATATACATACTTACAAGATATATGACAATATAATACATTAGTTACATATTTTATATAAAACTAAAGTTTATTAGAAATGTTTGATGTAATAAGTAAACATTTTAAGAACTGTGCGTTCTATTGTATTATCTATCTCATGTATAAGTAAGGAACATTTACATTATTGTTAAAAATGTTCTTGAATATATTTTAACATAATTTTACAATAAAATAAAATGTAATTAACAAAAGTATATGATTAATAATTTGAGTATAAAAATTAAATAATTAAAAAAAAATCGTAATTTTTAAAAATATTAATTATATAAAATCAGTCATTTTATTAGATATATTTAATTAAGAATCTGAGAAAATATTTATAATGAAAAATTGATTATTATAATTGTTAAGTATTACTTTTGGATTTATATAGTTTAAAAAAAAACTATATTTTATTTAAAAAATGATTAAGTTTATGTACAATTTTACATTAGTATGTACAATTTTATTTTAGTAATAGTTGTTAATCGCAATTTTTTAAAATAATGTAATTTAAACATATAATATTTTTAATATCCAAATTTTAAATAATATTGTTATAAAGATATTGAATGTATATTGAAATATCGAATTTTTACCCTTAAATCCAAAAGTCTACTTTTTGAATAGTAGTTTTTTTTCGTGTCTTAATAATTATATTATAAAAGTGTTATTATGAAGTTTATTTTGATGATAAATTAGTTCATTCATCATGGAACATTAGTGTATACGAAAAATGAAAACAATATAAAATATAAGATGAAAGGTACGAGTTAATATATGATAATACACATATAAAAAACGGCGAGCACATTGGAAATGGAAGCTGCTCATGTAAGTATGGAATTGAATCAAGAGTTCAACAAAGAAACATCTCCAAGACAAGAAACGAATATTGGATGCGAAGGTGGAAATGAGATATAATAGATTAAAAATATGTCAAAATAAAAGAAAGGAAACAAATGAAATTGCTTGCAAGTCGAGTGCAAGTGAACGAAAGACAATAACAGAGGGTAAGTACCTCAGACAATGGATGCGGGACGACTTTAATGATCACTTGTATAAAAAGGGACATACAGATAGTGATATATGGAAAAATATTAAGAAAATAATAAGAAAATAACGATAAAAAGCAAAAGAATAGACGAGGGAGAAAGGTAAAATCGTTATTTATGGTAGGATTTGATTTATGGGTAGGAATTTTGCATGTTGTTTATATGCAGTAGAATCTAAAAGAGTGTGGTCAAGCAATTTTTATCAGTCCTGGATGCGTGTGGTATAAACTTTTTGAAATATTAGCGGTAGGAGTGACGAATTACTAGACAAAGAAAAATTGAGCATATTGAAATAATAAGAGTCAGTAAGAAGCAATAAATCAGAGTAACGAGACAGATGGGGAGATAATATAAGTTAGTCTACAAACGGGGTGGAAAATGATAGTGAAGATCACGTGAAATATTTTAAATACTTATATAATATGTGATCGTTGGGTAAGATTATCGAATGTTAATTCTTTATATCAAAATGTTAAAAATAATTTGATGTTCAATGAGGCAATAGCGCCATATAATTATACTAGTCATTGAAGAAACAGACGCAACTAGCATACGCGGATCGTTTTATGTTTTTAATTGTGCAATAAAAATTTTATTTCAAACTGTTGCGCATAAATAATTTTTATTACTTTTTACTTTGTTGATATAACTCCTTCGATAAATTTACTTTTTGAATATAAATTTGATAAAATTAGATTAAATTAAGTAAAGCTTTATGAACATACATTCAAACACACGTACGAACACGCACACGCGCGCGCGCGCGCACACACACACACACACACACACGAACGAATGATTTATCACTTATACGCTTTATTATGTAGCATTTTCTTATGATAGACAGTTATATTTTTATCGAAAGTGAGGATAGAACAAACAGCAAAACATTAAATGGGCAGGATCAATTTGACGGATGATGCCGTTGATTTAGTACCGAATCACTTACTTGTAAGCTTAAAACGTATACATTTTTGAAATTCCAATATAATTTTAATAAGGTACAACGAGCTTTATAGGAAATTTATTTAATGGTTAATTAATTTTGAAGACCATCTAAAGGTTCATATTTATTTTTAATTATTATCCACTTATAGAACTATAACTTTTAAATATTTAAATATTTATTCAATTTAAATATTTATTTACCTTTATGTCATGTAAATTCCTATCACTCAATCAATATCGTATCGAATAATAATTTTATGACCCCCGTTGCCTAAAAGGTTCGATCCTTTTGGATTTAATATACGTGGTCTTCGCTTCCGTTGCAGCCTCCAGGTCATCGTATCCGACGGTGAGATACGCGTCACTGGCTCCCTCGCACGCACGCGCGTCTTTTCGAGATTCTTCGTCGGGTCCTGCGCGAAGCTTTCGCACCGGGAACGATTTTAGTAGCGGTGCTGCCGCGACTGAGAATTAACATCCGACGTTCCCCAATCCTCAAGCTCTAGGCCTCCATCCTTCGCTTCATAACCGCCGTTGCGTGTGTGCTAAAGTGCGGGTTTATCCGGTGTGTGCTGAGAAAAGGGACGAGAGGACATTTCTCACCGAGCCAAGGTGATGTCAGGGGTGGTAATCTAGTTTATAAGGATTTTTCGTCTTGCTAGTAATTTACATGCTCCTATATCTGTGTGCACTATTGTGTGGCTGTGTGTGTACTTAGAGTGTGAGTGCACAAGAGTGTGAATTTATGAAGGCATGTTTGTACGTTTGTATCTAAGAATGCATATGTATAGGAATGTATATGCGTACGTGTGTACACAGTTACGGATGTGTGAATGCTTGCGTACATGCGCGCGTGTGTATTCATATATTGAGGGGGGGGGGGGGTTTTTGTGGCTGTGTGTGTACTTAGAGTGTGAGTGCACAAGAGGGTGAATTTATGAAGGCATGTTTGTACGTTTGTATCTAAGAATGCATATGTATAGGAATGTATATGCGTACGTGTGTACACAGTTACGGATGTGTGAATGCTTGCGTACATGCGCGCGTGTGTATTCATATATTGAGGGGGGGGGGGGTTTACTTTAAACAAGGGCCTCGTCCGGCGCTCGCCGGTACGTGTATGTTCACATGAATAAGAGAGCAGATGTATGCACTATTGTCGATGCCGTCACGATGCCTAAATTTTGACATGTCGATTTTTTCCTGCATGTTCATACACAGATTTTGCAAATTTATATATAAACATTGAATTTATATCTTTAGTAGACACTGACCTTCCGGATATTTTCGAGTGTATCCAACTCGGATGTAAAGCTTCAATCATGTGGCGAGCTTCGGTACTTATTGCTTTAAAAAATTTAATTTATTTTTCAATTGTCAGGGATATCAATATTAAATATTTTATATTATATTCATTTATATTTTATACATTTTATATCAATTTAAGAGTTTTCAAATTATTTAAACAAGAATACTTATTGAAAAAATAATAACGTCTTATAAATATTATAAGTAATTACAAAGAAATGTGATCAGTGATCAAAACATAATGGGAATAATGTTAATCCCTTTTTTAATGAAAAGATTTTCTGATAATTATAATATAAATGCTTATATTATTTTATTTGAAATTAAAACGTAGATTTTTCACAACCTATTTTCAAACTGGATTTTACGTATCTATAAATATACCTAATCATAGTCGGCGAGAAATTAATGTATTTACAATTATATATCACATACACAAAATACATATATATATATATATAATATATATATATATATATATATATATATGTGTGAACTAGAAATTAGATTAAATTAAAAAACTTAAAATATAAACTATTTTCTAATATATCGATATTATATTTAAATATTTACTATTATTAACAGTGTGTATTCAGAAATTATTTTTTTACAATGTTTTTAAAAATTCAAATATAACTGTTCAGATTTCATTGAGTCTAAATATTTTTCTTTACCTATAAAATGGATTTGTAGCCTTAACAAGTTCAATTAAAATAAAATTACTTTTATTTTAAATGCAGTATAAAAATTTAATAATTTGCAAATACAAAATATTTTTACAAAATATTTAATATTTTATGTTAAATTATTAAATATTGGAGGTGGAATAAATACATATAGAGATATGTATAAGTAAAATATAATTGCAACACAAACAAAATAAAAAAAAAATTGTACAGAACTTAATCGTTGCAATATAATAAGTAACATAATTCTAATAATTGAAAAATTGAAAATAATATATAAGATAAAGCTCTTGTATAATCATTTTATTTAAAATAAAGATAATTAGAAAAATCAAAATATTGCTTTGGAAATATTTTATCAATATATTATCACAGTTTAAAAATTTGTAATTTATTAATTTTATTCAATAATTAATCAATTTCATGCTGAAAATACTATATCTTTCTTTTTTGAACTAATGAATCGTGTATTATATTTATTATTTATTTTGTATAAAAGTTACAAATTACTTTACTTTAATCAGTTTATTAAGATTTTATTTTAATAATTGCCTTAAATAAATAAATAATATATATATATATATACATATATATATACATTGTACTTTATTTAACTTCATACAATACTTTCAATATTTATATATTCGATTATTTATTAAAATTGTTCAAGCTAGTATAAAAGGAATTTAAATTTAAATTTAAAAAATATAGTTTTATATAAATAATGTAATAATTTAAATACGTTTTAAATAAATATAAGATTGTATTATAGTCTTTATATTCGTAATCGAAATTCGTATGTATACATTTTTCAGTTAAATCATTACATATTTTTATAATATATTTTATTGTTTAAATTTAATTTTTGTAATTCAGAGAAATAAGGTGAAAAAACCTTCTTTGTATTTCTTTATGATGTATATGTATTATTTATTTTAATTTATTTTTACTTTGTTATTATTTAAACCCAAAAAAAGGCCAATTGTATTGTCTTAATATAAGATAGAATCTATTTCTTTTGCAAAAGACTAATGTTAAGTAAAAATTAAATTTAACTTCAGGAAATTTATGGTCTGATTAAATTTTTACATATAAAAAGACGAACATACAAATAAACTTCTTTCGCCAGACATATCCACTCGGGTTTCTTATTCATTTACTCAGTGGTGTGTAGGTTTGCAACACATGAACAATAAAACTATTCAAGCGTATACATGCATATCCTTATGTACACATGCCTCTATATTGACTTATATCTACGTATAAATTCATGTACATATAATTAAAGTTTAAAATTATATTATTTATCATGAATTTTGTTCTTCGATTAATAAACTATTCATAAGTTAACTGTTTAAAACTTTTATTTTTCCTTACAATATGAGAAAAATGAAAATAATTTTGTTTCCATTTATTCATTTACATGCGCATATGCACATACACATTAAAAAGTTATTTATAATGTATATAAATATACGTATCAATACACTGAAACTAAACTATTTAACATAATTATTTTATATACTTCTTACATGTATATGGTCAAACTATTATAAATCATTATTAAATTTAAATATAATCATATTTTAAATAAAACAAGTTTTCAATTGTAATTTCAATTTAAATAACATTCTTAACAAATTTAAGTAAAATTGAAATATAATTACAGTAAACTACAGAATAATAATTTTATACCGTGACTATCATTGTATTTATATACAATATAAAGTTAAAATATTAGTTAAAATTTTTTATTTCAAAATTTTTTATAACCTCTTTTTTAAAATTTATATATGCATATATAAAATTAAACTTAAAATTAAAATTTTTCTTATATTAAATAAATTTTTAGATTATAAAACTAAAATTTTATAAACATAATATTATTTATACATTGCACATTGTTAATGGAGGTAAATAAAATAAACATTTGTACTCTGCAAATTTAAAGATATTTATAAATTTATGTATCAGTATGAATACAAATCATGAAAGTTAAATTTTTGAAATGGATGATGGTTCCAAATACAAGTTGCTGTAGAAATTGATTTGGTATAAAGTATATATATATATATAGTTTTGTTACGCATAAAAATATTCAATAATTATTGAGAGTATTATTTTATGAACAATATAACTATAAAGCTTTAAAGCTATAAATTTAAAGCTTTTAAAGTTGCTTACAATATAAATATATATACATATAAGCTTTATGACTATGTATAGTAACATTATTCATAAAATAATATTCTCAATAATTATTGTATATTTTATGTGTAAAAATAATATATAATGGTATCAGATAATTATTTTGAAAACTAAGAAATTTTAAGAAATCTGTAAGCGATTAAATATATCATTTATCTTGAATATTAAAGCTTTGAATATGCATATTGTAAAACTTTTTTTTGAATCCTAAAACTTTTCTTTGCCTGCAAAGTTCAAATCGATAAAATTTAAAGTTTTATAACAGATTCATAAATATATTGCCTAACTTCTTATAGGATTTGCTTTTTGACAAGTAAACAAATTTTTATACTGTCAAAATATATTGAAGTGGATAAGCAATAACCAAAATTCACATTTCAGTTGAATATAGATATTATAAACGTATCGAAGGAGAAATTCGTGCTGTCAAGGTATATTATTTCGAGTGAGTATAGGAGTGTCAAAAACTTTAATACTCTAAGCTTTTAATCTCAATAACTCTAGCATTCAATATAAATTAGGTCTTTTATCCAACGTGCTAAAAATTTATGATCCAATTTAACATTTTCTGGAAAAAATAACGACACCAAGGATTTTAAAACATTGAGGAAAAAGATCAGAGGATAAAATCCGGAGGCAATGAATATACTAGCCAGTTAATCTCAGACTCCGACGTGTCAGGTTCAACCCTCTAGTTATATTAGGTAAATTGAGTCGATCGATCGGCGCGCGCAAATTGCACGCAATAAAGTGATGCGATTGGTTGTATTTTATTTGGGAGCCCGGTATTATCCATTAGAGGCTACCGTTTCAGATGTCGGCAGGCCTACGATTTACACGAAAACGATCACACCCGTGAGAATTGACTCCAGTCGTTGCATACAGACTTGTGGATACGGAATTTTATCATTCGAGGAGTTTTTAAATTTGAAAGTAATGATATGTTCGTTGAATGATCTATAAGGCACATAAAACATATGCGACTTGGCAAACGAACCTTTTAAGTTATAACTTTACGTTTTGTGAGGCAGATACAACTTTATTTACAATTAATATTCAAATAAGAACTTATATTAATTATAATACTGTATGAAAATACTTTATACTTAATATGTCAAGATAATTATAATACTTCACTCATTTTTTATAGAAATATTTGACTTCAATTTATTTCACAAACAACCATAATATTTTTTAAAATTTTTTCATTATATATATATATATATATATATATATATTTTATGCTTAATTTTTTCCTTCTTTTATATAACCTAAAGAATTTTAATTCTAATTCTAAATGTAGAAAAACTATAAAACGCACTAAATAAATAATTCATTAGCATGAATCTGATTTTTTGAACATATTACTTTAAGATAAAGAAGAAAATATATTATAATTACAAATTTTTA